AAACCATTTCAGGTGACTACCTCTTGAAGCTCATGGAGAGAATGCCAAGAGTGTGCAAAGCAGTAATCAGAGCAAAGGGTGGCTATTTTGAAGAAACTAGAATATAAAACATGTTTTCAGTTATTTCACCTTTTTTTGTTAAGTACATAACTCCACATGTGTTCATTCATAGTTTTGATGCCTTCAGTGAGAATCTACAATGTAAATAGTCATGAAAATAAAGAAAACGCATTGAATGAAAAGGTGTGTCCAAACTTTTGGCCTGTACTGTATATATATATACGTGTATGTGTGTGTGTGTGTGTGTGTATATTTAAGCAATATCACACGAGAGGGAGTGATGTTATACTCGTATATCGTCACGGCTGTGATTCGGTCATAGGCACGAGGCCGATGTGCAGGTAACCATAGCAACCATAGTGCCTCACTAAAGACACACACCCACATTCACACATACAAACACACACACGCTGCACAAATCTAAATTGGCTACAACAATTATCATTATTATTATTATTATTGTAGGTATAAAATATACATATACATATACATCCAATATCTATCATTAATCTTCTAACTGGTCAATCACTGCAGTCTAAGGTCAGTTTTTTTCAGACCAGAGGCAGTTTAAAGATGAAATAACATTGCATTTTAACCAAAATTATGTCTCATATTAGTTATTTCACTAGTAAGAAGCTGTGTAATACGTGGGATAACGTAAAGTGAGCTGGTTATTATGGATAGAACCCGGACGCGGAGCGGAGGGCTTCTATTTGTCCTGTCGGGGTTTATTTCACTATTTAACAACCTGCTCACTCGATATTATCCCTTATGTACACCTTACCTGTGAAAAGTGATTCCATGGGATCTGGTTTGTATGTTCCGCTCATTTGAACATCCATAAGCAGCACAAAAGTCAGTCTTCTAACTGAAAAAGATGCCAGTCTGCTGAAAACATTAAGTAGAATTTGTATTTGGGTAGTAAAACTGGCATTTTTAAAATGTCCAAGCATCCTGTGTCATAGCTACATGTGTGACGTTTTTAACAAATCAAACCGTTTGGAAATCAGTGGAAAATTCAGTGAATAATTCTACTTTCAGATTGCGGAGTACCTCTTTCCTCCATAGATGTACATGCACTACCGCCTCTGCTAGCCCTGTACCAAGATGGTGGCGCTTTAGGCACGCCCCTCCACAGTCAATGCGGCGTCTATGTATATATGTCTATGTTCGGAATGAGTGTATCTCTCTGCTGGTATGCTCAGATTGACGATTGGACCCACGGTTTGGGAATTCAAGGGAGGAGTCATCTCATTACTCGTCATAACAACAATATGAGTGTTTTCCATCTCTCACATATGACTACAGCCTTTATTACTGATAATACTGTTGCTACTTTTGTGATTATGACTGTTAAATACATATTGTAACGTACTGTAATCTTATACACACACATAGTGCTCAGTAATTGTAGCACATGTAGTACGCAGCATGACAAGTGACTTACTTATCAGACGAGTCAACCACACAAACACATAAACAAAACCACACAATCACACACTCCCCAGCAGCCACCTCCCATGGCACAGGGGGTTCATTTCTTCAGCAGTTTCGATTTCAGAAGCCATCAACGTTCCACTTCCAAATCATGATGTCTGCCTTTTCCTTGGTAAATTTACTACTCAGACTACAGTACATCTTGGGCAGAGTACACATACGTAAAAGAAAATAAAAAACTTGTTTTATCGACATTTCTACTATTACGAATAATTCGCACTGCCTTCGTGAGCTGAAGGCCAAAACGGCGAGACTCCGAGGTCCCGCCCAATGCTGCTAGCATCTTTAATTTAAATTGAGTCTAGTAGGATCACTGATGGTGACTTTGGGACTGTTTCTGGGAAAACACGGTCCAAGTTGAAAAATACAGAAGTCAGCCTGTAATCCTTTTTTTTCCTTCTTCATTAAAGTGTGTAGCCTACCTTGTGTTCTTATTGCCCTTCTGTGCTCTGCATTTAACAATAAACAAGTATTTAATCAAACTAATAATATCATAACTATGAATCTTATTTTTAAAGCACTAAAATCAGGATAAATGAAGTAATTTGCACACACTCACAAAAAAGGGCTCTAATACTTCATATCCCACTGTTGAGCCACCCTAAATCACTTCAGGGGAAACCATTGCAACAGCCCTAGTGTGAAAAATTATTCATTAGGTACATTAAGTTCATGACATTAAGGATTTACTAATTAAAAAGTCACTTCATTCATTTTTGAAAAGGCTTTTGATCAAAGAAATGAGAGTACATCTAAAATGTTTAGAATATTTTAATTTTGGTGCCTCTTTGGTAAATTGGGTTAAGGTGTTATATAATAATCCATAAACAATGGCTATCTTTCACAAAGTTTTTCATTATCTAGGGGAGTCAGACAGGGTTGCCCCCATCCCCATATTTATTCTTACTGGTAATAGAAATATTAGCGATAAAAATTAAAAATAACACAAATATTAAAGGTTTAGATAGTTATGGACAAGAATCAAATATTTCATTATATGCAGATGATACAAGTTTCTTTCTGTCACCGAAAGGCAACTATTTGAATGTATTATTTTGCGATTAGGTTCTTTACATGGTTCTACATTTATAATAACTTCCAATTCAACACTAATATGGTCAGATGGATCAATAGATGTACTTGGTATTCATATTCCAAAACAGATGGATGAACTTGTTAAATCTAATTTTGAACGCAAGCTTCAAAAAATGGAGAAGATCTTGTGTCCATGGAAATTGACAACATTGTCCTTGTTTGTCTCCCTTGTCAGTTCATTGTGTACTTCTCAGTATACTCATAAGCTATGAGTTGAAATCTGCTCCAGTTTATTGAGCCCAAATCATGTATGAAGTTGTCAAAATGAATGTGAACTCTAATACATTTTGGAGGAAGACAAGGGGCTTTAATCTTCCATACACAAAAGATCGCAGAGTGATCAGTAAAGCAATCACATAAAACACCAGAATTTGAAATTCTGTCTAGACAAGTGACAAGGATCCGGTCTAATAAGGACTGGCATGGACTCTGGTGGGCTCATCGATTAACTGACTTAATTTTCTGCTTTTAAGCAGGTTTTTATCAATTGACAAAGAATGATCAAGTCAACTGATGTTGAAGTCACCTAAGATAATTATTTCACCAGGGTTCCTAAAAGATGTAAGAGTAGATAATATGCATCTAGTTGAATCAGGATGGACAGGGGGAGGTTTATAAATACTACGAATAATAAGATGCTTATTTTTATTATTTATTATTTTAATTTAGTTATTTTAGTTTTAACTTAACAAAAAGGGATTCAAAAAATGACGGGATTGCATTAGGAATGGTAAGTTCAGAAACAAAATGTGAGGAAGCATATATAGCCACACCTCCTCCTCTTGTACTTCTGTCTGCTCTGTATAATCTACAATTTTCAAGTTTGATGTCATTGTCATTTATTTTACTGTGCAACCATGTCTCTGAGAAGGTAAGTACATCAGGTTTGTAACCCAAAACTCTAATTAAATATTTTTTTGGGAGAAGGCTCCGTATATTCAAATGCATCATTTTTAAACCTTTAACTGTATCAGTTACGAGTCAAGCGAATGAAAGTACTGATAGGGTAGAGTGAGACAGGGAAAGTATCTGGGAGAGGAGGGTAGGAGAGCCATAGCGCATACATACATACACACACACACACACACACACACACACACACACACACACACACACAAAACAGAGAAAAGACAAAAGCAAAATCAAGCTGCATCATAAAACTAAGCAGGTCATAGAAAGACTGCGTTCTCTTACTTTGACATGCGGAAATTACATCATCAGCTGGGTGATCACGTGCTATCCAAAAATGGCCGAGTGATACGAGTGCATTTTTGTTTGGATCGGCAGAAAGTTTGTTTCAAAACTCTGTGTGTGTAAAAAGCAAATCCACACACGTAGAACTGAGATCCGCAAATGTTTTTTCGATTCACAAATAAAAACTGAGTTCACAAATGCCTGTTCCAATGTTTTAAATGTTAGGAAGATATTCAAAATGCTTTTCATTTATTTGCAAATTAATTTAATGTATTCACATATATTCTTTGTATTTGTGGAAGGTGTTTTATATTTTCAGATTACACATTTACACACAGGTTGTTGATCTGTTCACACACATAATTATGAAACAAATCTATTTCCATATAAAAATCGCGGTAAAAATCGTGTAATGTGAACTAGCCTTAACTCGCCAAGGAAAATCTCAGCATCTTCAGGGGAGCAAAAAAGTTTACCACTGTGGACCACTCTCAGCATACAGGGAAAGATCATGGAGTATTTCAAATCCATATCCATATATTACTGTATGTCTATGTCAGTGGTCTTGTGTAATTTGTATTTGTTTTGTTTAAATAAATTCATTAAAAAAAAGAAAAAAAAAAGAAAAACATTCAGTTTATAACTTCTCACTTAGAGATATAGAACATCGATAACTGCCTGAAGCATTTACTGATGTTATATTTGTTTTTCATAAGATTGTTTTTTTGGCATTTTGCCTTCGTTGGATATGATAGTCCAAGTCGGAAAGGGAAGAATGAGGGGGGAGATGACATGCAGCACAGGGTCGCAGGCTGGAATCAAAACCATGGCCGCTGTGACAAAGACGTAGCCTTTGTATACGGGACGCCTGTTCCACCCACTAAGCCATTTTCAGCCATTACTGTCTACTGTCTAAAGACATTTTAAGACTTGCTACGCCCTTTTTTGGGGGCCTTTGAACAAGTAAATTACAAAGAAGGAAAGGTATCGATGACAGTGACCGCATGGGAGGAATTAGACTTTTATGTCAGTTCTGTTGGAGTCAAAGGGGCGGGCACTGCAAATCACATTTTAACCCATCATATCTTTGTTGTTTCAACTTTGACAGAAAAATCCTTCCATCAGATTAAAAAAACACACATTAAATGATGCTTACTGATGTTTTTTATCTAAATGTTTGCATTTGTTTTCCTTGTTATTGGTCTCCAAACAGATCATGGCTCAATCCAGCAGATGCATCTCAGCCTCTGCTGGTCAATGTACTGCTGTACCGCTATATTTGATATTAACATCATCCAAATCTGCATCTTCATCTACAAAGCAATGTCATGTACTACTAGGCCTGTCGCGAAATGCAATAAGTTGGTTAACTGCACGGTAAATTTAAAGGGAGACGGTAACTTTTCCGGCCGCGATTAATTGCCATATTCATGCGTGTTTATTTTCCTCGTCTCTCTCCACCAAAGAGACTGGACGACAAGAGCATTCACTGCCGTGCATCATCTGGCAGCCAGGTGAGTTGGTTCATTAGCGTAATGAACGGAGGGAAATCTCTTGTCATCGAGAGTCTTTGTCTCTGTGGGGGAGGCGGGGCTATGGGCCACACACACACACACACACACACACACACACACTGCGATCTTCGTGAGGGGGAGACGAGGCGGAGAAAAAAAGAGAAGAGTTGAGCTAAGAGAAAGACATGGAACTTGTTCCTAAACCAAATGCCACGGCATTTATTTATTTATATTTCTTATTTATATTTATTTAAATATTGTTTTTCGTTGTTTTTTTTTTCAAGTGCAATTTTTGATAAGAGACTGA